TGCCAGCACTCAATGGACGGATTATGGTTGACCCTTTCTTTCATGTTGAAGGATTATTATGGATTGATTTAAAGTAGAAGGATGCCAATAACTACTTTCATAAAGTTGGAGGATTTTTATGAGATTAACCCTTATAAAAATAAAAAAATTTTGGCCCTTATACCTTTTGTAATTAAATGCTAAATTTAGTCTCTAAAACATTTAATTTTTAAAAATTTTAGTATTTAAATTATTTTTGCAGTTTTTGTCTTCTTTAATTATGAAAATACACTCTTTTAATTTTTTTTCATCAATCTAGTGCATTAAGCTTGTTCAGCTGGTGTGTCTTATTTATAGAACATGATAAGAACGTGGGGAAACTTTCTTTAGAAAAATTATGCAAATAAGAATTTTAATCTTATACTTTTTTATATAAAAATATTAATTTTATTGGTTTTAAATAGAGATGATAATTTTTAATTTTTTATTAAAAAATCTATTTGTTATGTTAACATTATCATTTAATTAATCTTTAAATAAAAAATTAAAAGTTAATATCTTTATTTAGAAATTATTAAACTTAAAATTTTTTTAAAAAAATTATAAAATTGATATTTTTATTTGTATCTTTTCTCAAAACACTTTCCCTTTAAACAAAATAACATGCCGTACTTATAAGACTAGTGATCTTATATCCTTTATTCATAGGTTAATTATAAAAATAAATTGAGTGATTATTAGGAAATAATATGCTTTTTTAAATTTAATAATTAATCCAAAACGGTTATTTTGGACAAGATAAAACAAACTCATTTGAAAAAAAAAAAAAAAAAGGGTTAGAAGCTAATTTTGGTCTCTTAACTTTAAGATTTTACATAATTTTTATCCTTCAACCTTTTATGCAAATTTTTTGTCCCTCAATTGTAAAAAAATAAACTTTTTTAACCTTTTAATAAGTTAATCTGTTAAATTTATCTAAATATACATATTTTTAATTCATTAACTTCTAAAATATACATATTTTTCTTCCCTCAACTTTAAGTTGAAGATTAAAAATATGTATATTTAGATAAACTTAACAAATTAATTAACGAAAAAATTAAAAATATATATTTTTCACACTTAAGAGATCAAAAAAATGCACAAAAAGTTAAGTGATGAAAATTATACAAAACCTTCAAGTTTAGGGACCAAATTGGCATCTATCCCAAAAAAAAAACAGTCAGTTACTTTTGCCGCCCAACCCAGCAACAGCAGCAAGAAGCCTATCTTCCCCTTCCATGCTCTGTCCGTTTAGTATGTGCATCTCCGTCGCCGCTGTCAAACACACAGATGAACTCAACAATAATTCGACAACCCACAGTCGCCACCATCTCCCCAACTCACCCGTCTTCACACTTCCCTCAAATCAGAAGGTGCAAAACCATGAGAGACATCCAACAAGTCCACGCCCACTTCATCAAAACGGGCCAAATCCACGACCCTCTTGCAGCAGCTGAAATTCTCAGGTTCTGCTCTCTCTCAACCCACCGCGATGTTGGCTATGCGCGCAAGGTTTTTCACCAAATGCGCGAACCCAATTGCTTTTCTTGGAACACCATCATTCGATCTCTAGCGGAAAGGGATGGCGATGAGCCAATGGAGGCATTATTGTTGTTTTGTGAAATGCTTTGTGACGGTGGGGTTGTACCCAATAGATTTACGTTTCCTTCCGTGCTGAAGGCATGTGCTAGGACTTGCAGTATCGAGGCAGGGAAACAGGTTCATGGGATGATACTGAAATTTGGATTTGGTAGTGACGAATTTGTAGCTAGTAATCTTGTGAGGATGTATGTCATGTTTGGAACCATGGAAATCGCTCAGTTTCTGCTTAATAAGATCACTGTTGAGTATGGAAGTGATAGCAAATTATTGAGAGATAAGAGGAGGCAAGAGGGCACCATTGTTTTGTGGAATGTCATGATTGATGGCTATGTAAGACTTGGGGATTTAAAGGCTGCCAGAGAGCTGTTTGATAAAATGCCTCAAAGAAGTGCAGTGTCATGGAATGTCATGATTTCTGGGTATGCCCAAAATGGATACTTCAAGGAAGCAATGGAGATGTTTCGTCTGATGCAAATGGAGGAAGTGTGTCCTAATTATGTGACTTTGGTAAGTGTTTTGCCTGCAATTTCAGGACTTGGGGCACTTGAACTGGGTAAATGGGTTCATTTGTATGCAGAGAGGAATGGAATTGAGATTGATGATGTTCTTGGCTCTGCTTTGATTGATATGTATTCCAAGAGTGGAAGCATCGAGAAGGCACTTCAGGTGTTTGGGGTGATACCTAAACCAAACACAATTACTTGGAATGCCATAATTGGTGGCCTTGCTATGCATGGTCGAGCAAAGGATGCTCTTGATTTTTTTTCAAGGATGGAACAAGCTAGCATAACCCCCAGCGATGTAGTCTATATTGGTATTTTGAGTGCTTGTAGCCATGCTGGCTTGGTGGAAGAGGGACGTTGGTTTTTCAATCACATGGCTAATGTTCATGGTTTTGAACCTAGGATTGAACATTATGGGTGCATAGTTGACCTTTTAGGCCGTGCAGGGCTATTGGAAGAGGCTGAAGAGCTTATAGTGAACATGCCAATAAAACCAGATGATGTGATATGGAAGGCCCTTCTAGGTGCATGTAAGATACATGGAAACGTCGAGATGGGTAACCACATAGCTAAGATTTTGATGGATATGGCTCCTCGTGACAGTGGAGCGTATGTTGCTTTGTCAAATATGTATGCTTCTTTGGGAGATTGGGAAGCAGTTGCCAAGTTAAGGTTAAAAATGAAGGAGATGGACATAAGGAAAGACCCTGGATGCAGTTGGATCGAGCTTGATGGAGTTATTCATGACTTCCTTGTCGAAGATGATTCTCATCCAAGAGCTAAAGAGATCCATTTAATGTTGAAGGAAATCTCTGAACAGCTGAGGTTGGAAGGATATAAGCCAAAAACTACAGAAGTTTTGCTCAATATGGATGATGAAGACAAAGAGAGTGCCTTATGCTATCATAGTGAGAAAATTGCAATTGCATTTGGCCTAATTAGTACAACTCCTGGAACACCACTTAAGGTAGTCAAGAACCTCCGCATTTGTGGAGATTGCCACTCTTCAATGAAAATAATCTCAAATGTTTATGAGCGTAAAATAATTGTGCGTGATAGGAAGCGCTTTCACCACTTTGAGCATGGTTCATGTTCTTGTATGGACTATTGGTAACTTGACTAACTTCGATGAAAGTGATCTCAAAACTCTGTTTATTGGTTTGATTTCTTCAATGGTTATTTCTAGGAAAGGTGGAATGGTTCTGAAGTCTGAACCTTCAGGTGGACTGTTATGCACCCCTTTAGCAAGATGCCCCTTTTGTTGCAGATTTCTTTTTTTACTGTACCCCACAGGATTATCATGAGAAGTCCTCTCTTGTTTACATAGAAAAATCCCACTTCACCCCAAAAAGATGGCTTTTAGAATTCCTCTAGCCATGCTCATTGGTTATAGATTATGCCCATTAGTATGTCTCCATCATGCTCAACAAAGCTCATATAAAAGGAGAAAAAAGAACCCATTTGTTATTTCCAAGTGCCAGTAACACGATATCATTACTTCATGCTTAAAGATTAACTTTAAAATTTTAAATCATTTTGGGTAACTTCAATCTAATCCTCTCTGAAAAAGGCTAAAGGTATATGCAAAGAAGGAACCACTGCGCCTTTGAGAAACTATGGTTATCAAATATGATAAATCCAGAGCAAGTTTTGTTGAGGGAAGCCATGAAGTGTGCTTTTTAGGCTGATACTTGGGTTGTTTTTGAGGCAATGATAAGAAAGGGACACAAAAGGTAAGGGACCATCAAAATGGAGATTTTTGAATGAAAACATGGATGATTAGGGGAATGAATGATTTCTCTGATTGGCGTGAATTTGAACAGTAAGATGCTGGGAAACATGTCTATCTCTGTTTTCAGTTTCATGATAACTCAAGCCACCTGCCTATAATTTACATGAAAACACAATCAAACATGCTACTTGAATCCAAGAAGAAAAGAAAGATGGTTATCTAGTAGGGAGTGGTTCTTCAAGTTCGAACTAAACTAGCAAATTTTCAATAGTCTAAACAACAACAATCCTTGGACATAAATGCAAAGCTCTTTAACATGTGGATGTAAGTCCACATCCAAAAGGTTATCATTTCGAACTAAAAACTTGCATGCCGTATCAAATATTCCACCTTTTTAGAATATATATGTATGGAAAATTTAGCCAAAAAGGAAAGTCACCATTTGTGGAATAATGATTTTTATTCTTGGGACATAATTGGAGGTCCCATGTTTCGCTCCCTTTTTTTTTTTTTTTTGAGGAACCATGTTTCCCCATTAAATTAATAAAGCAACTTGAATTGTATTATGTGCACAATATTTGAAAAGAAATAATTTGTCTTCTTTCAGAGTTCCTGCATAGAAAAATTCTGGCTCAGAAATGTAAACCCTATGAAATCACACCACCCCCCCCCCCCCCCCCCAAAAAAAAAAAAAAGTTCATCTTAAAACTCATCCCTTTTTTTCTTCTCTTAAACTAGCTGGATACCATTTATATTATTAAATTATTTATTATCTTCTTTTTCTACATTTGATCCCTCTTTACTCTCTCGTAATCATCAAAAGAAAAAGATGAGGAGCAACAAGCTCCTCCGTTAAGAAGGAAAAAGTTTTTAAAATCCTACTTTTTCCATATTTGCAACAGAGATTCCTTAACTTCGATTTTGTTCCTTGCCCCTCAAGCACAGAGACGTACTAAATGTCTTCACTTTACTACTTCGTCAAGATCAATACACATTGCTGAGAAGAATTAGCCAAATTAGTAACCACTAATTATAAAATCTTATTACTTCTATGATATTGAAGAAGATGCCACACTGTTCATGCAAGGAAAAAAAGAAGAAGAAGAAGAAGAAGAAGCCACTGCTAACCTTACTCCCCCAGTTGATATTTGCTAAGTTGGGTGTGTTCAAATTTAGGATGCGTTTAGTTAGGTTGATATTAGCAGCGTATAATTTCTTTTAAATAATTGGTTATATGATGTTTATAAGTTAATTT